CTCAGCAGGGTACAATGCTATAGAGTCCACCTGACAAAGCAACTATTTTCTCCAGGGGAGCTGATCTCTGTAGTCGGAAGATCAGTTGCAAATTGCGATGTTGGGAGGACTCCAGGCCCTGCCTGGAGGATGGCACCCACAGTGGGTCTGTAGCCCACGGTGAGGCTGGTGGGATGTGGTGTCCTCTCTCTCCCTTCTCCACAGGCATGGTCCCCTTGAAGAAGCTGCACGAGGCGTTCCTCCGGTTGGCCCTCCTGCCCGCGGGGGGCACCACCAGGCCCAAGGCCTCCGAAGTGCTGAGCCTGCACCTGCTGCAGAGGGGCCTGCCCCACTGGACCTCCTTCTGCGTCAAGTACAGCGCCGTGCGCAACGACCAGTTTGGGCTCTCCAACTTCAACTGGGAGGTGAAAGGGACGAACTACCACATCCTACGGACGGGCTGCTTCCCCTTCATCAAGTACCACTGCTCCCGAGCCTCTCGCCAAGACCTGGCGATGCAGAACCGCTTCTTTACGACTCTTAAAATAATAAACTTGGGTGAGCCTCGCTGTGGAAAGGATCCCTCCCGTGCCGAGGGGGTTCATGTGATGGGGCTTCCGGGTGCTACTAGAGTGCACCAGTCATTTCAGTTTAGAAGGCCTCAAACGTCTTTCAGCTTCTGAGAGAGGATTTCGGCTGAGGAAGGAGCAGAAGTCACAGAATCTAATTTCACCAGCGTGCTTTAAGTGACTGATTCATCTTAGAGCACGTTCATATTTCAGGCTTCCCCACTGCACCTCTGGCCACCGTCTAGTGTAATTTCTCCGTGGGATGAATTGCACTGGGGGAAACCTGGGATATTCCCCTGTTGAATGTGTGCCCCCAAAGTGGATAATGCTTCTCTCTGCCAGCAGGGTGTAGCAGTTAGATTAGAGTGATAGATCTGGAAGATGTGGGTTCAAATCCCCACTGTACCATGGAGGCTTGCTGGGTGTCCTTTGGGCCAGTCACACACTCTGAGCCCAGCCTAACTCCCAGGGTGGTTGTGAGGATCAAATGAAGGAAGGGAGAATGATGTTGTAAGCTGCTCCGCATTGGGGAGGTATAAATATCAAAATAAATAAGAACAGGGCTATTTTTGGGCAGGAACGCACAGGAACGGAGTTCCGGCTGGCTCCCGAGTTGGCCATGCCCAGCAGGAACTCATTAGCATAATAGGCCACACCCAACAGCAGAAACTCATTAGGATTGGCTACATTAGGGGTGTGTGGCCTAACATGCAAAGGAGTTCCTGCTACAAAAAAAGGCCCTGGGTTTTGACAACAAACAAAGTAAACAGAATAAGAAGCAAAAGGTGGGTGTGGCTGGATGACCACACTTCTGGTAACATGGGGGTGCGGCCTAATGGGCTAATGAGCTGTGCTGTCAGGGGGTGTGGCCTAATATGCTACTGAGTTTCTGCTGTTGGGTGTGACCTATTATGCTAATGAGTTCCTGCTGGGCTTTTTCCACAAAAAGAGCCCTGAGAATAAACAGTAAATAGAAGAAAGATGTGCACACCCTCCTGAATAGGGTTGCCAGGTCTGGGTTGGAAAATACCTGGAGACTTTGGGGGTGGAGCCAGGAGAGGGCGGGGTTTGGGGAGGAGGGGCTTCAGCAGGGTCCAATGGCATAGAGTCCACCCTCCAAAGCAGCCATTTTCACCAGGGGAGCTAATCTCTGTCAGCTGGAGGTCAGTTTTCAAAGCGGGAGATCCCCAGGCCCCACCTGGAGGCTGGCAACCCTACCCCTGAATAGCTTCTATAGGCGTCTTTGTTCATGTGGACACGGCTTAGTTCAACAGAGCAAAAGACGTTGTCCAGGCCTGCATCTTGTAAACTGTATGAGCACGTGCAGGACGCCTGCCAGATGGCCGAAACAGGAATCTCCAAAGAGGGACCCGAGGATACCTTAGTGCAGTGACTGGGCTTTGTTTAGGGTGGTTCTGAAAAAATGGCAAAATGATATCTTTTAACTCAGTCGTCGTTTTCAACCAACAGCTGCCCCCAAGTAAAACGTAGCCTCTGGCAGGGGCAGGGCTTTTTTTGTAGAACAAGCCCAGCAGGAACTCATTAGCATAACAGGCCACACCCCGACAATGCAGCTCATTAGCACATTAGGCCACACCCCATGCCTTCCCTGGGCTTCCCCGGGCGCCCCGTGGCTGCGGGGAGCCCAGGCAAGCCGACCCTTGGACAGGCTAGAGAAGGCATAGCAGCTTCCGGTCTCGATGGCACTCACTCATGATCTCTTTCCAGCCAGTTTAGTGTGGTGGTTAAGTGTGCGGACTCTAATCTGGGAGAACCGGGTTTGATTCCCCACTCCTCCGCTTGCACCTGCTGATGTGACCTTGGGTCAGTCACAAGCTCTGGCACAGCTGTCCTTGAAAAAGAGCCGTTCTGGTTCCTGTCAGAGCTCTCTCAGCCCCACCTACCTCACAGGTTGTCTGTTGTGGGGAGGGGAAGGGAAAGGAGTTTGTAAGCCGCTCGGAGACTCCTTTGGGTAGTGAAAGGTGGGGTATAAATCCAATCTCTTCTTCTCTCTTCTTCTTTCCTGATCGTTATGCTTCTTTTCTAACCACGCTAGGTCTTTTTTTTGCTGCCACTGTCCTAAAGCATAGTGTCTTAGACTGTTTTTGAATTCAGAACCTAACAATGGTTAGTAAAATGTGAAAAAAGAGGGCCAATATTAAAAACTAACTGTAGAAAATATATAGAAAAGATACATGTATTTATTAATTACACATTTTAAAACATATATAAGGGCCCATTCACATCAAATATATAAATAACATGGCAATACACACGGGCTTAAAAACCTGACCTGACGCGTTTCGGCCAGAACACTGCTTTTCACTTGGGAACACACTGGCAACACAATCAAAGAAGGCAAATCAAATCAAAAGTCTATACTTTAGAACCACTGGGCAAGTGATTGCACTTTTAAAGATCTCATTGGCATATTTATTGTGTGCCTGGTGGTTTTATGCTGGAACAACTGGTGTTCTGGTCCATGTTGAATTTATATTTTGTACCCATTCTGATTGTGTCTACATGATTGTATTATATTTATATAGCCATCTTGCCACTCCATTGTTTGACCTCTGAGAAAGGCCTATGCAGGCCGAAACGCGTCAGGTCAGGTTTTTAAGCCC